CCCCCCCCGCCTGAAGCTCCCTCGGGGTACGGCCGGCCCACGGGAGCGCCCCGGGGCACCGGGCACGGGCCGCAGAGCTGTGCCGCCCCGGCGGGGCCCCGCGGCGCCTCGGGGCCTTCCTGCTTGGCCGGCGGCAGGAAGCCCCGCGGGGGAGGCGGGCCGGAGCCTCTTCCCCGCAGGTGGGAGGGCGACAATGGCCGGGAGGAAGGAAGCCGGGAGGCGGCGGGCCGGGACACAGGACGCAGGGCCCGGCGAAGGGAGGGAAAGGGAAGAGGGGCGGTAGGAAGGGGCGGCCGGGGCGGCCGTTCGGGAGGGCGGCGGGCGGCTCCAGGGAGCTCGGCTCGAGGGGTGCCGGCAGCCTGCGGCCGCGGCTCGTGCCGGGCACCGGAGTCCGGCCGTGAAATCAAACGGCTGCGTAACGCGACCGCTCTGGGAGAAAGGTTAGACGGGAGCGCAGCGCCTTACCCCTTCAGCGTGGATCCCAAGTTCATCTGGTTCCACGTCATGCATTCCAGCTGTGATGTCATTTGGTATAAATTGTCACTGCGGTGAAAATAGCCAGAATTAGAACCAAACGCACTGCCATCGGTTTAGCACCGACTCGTCTAAATAGCGACATTTCGTTATCGTCTTTAGATCTAAAAACAGCAACATATTTATTTATGTAACGTGTCTTATCGATGTAATCATTTGTTCCTCGGGAAAAGGAGGGGAGGGGAAGGGAAGGGAAGGGAAGGGAAGGGAAGGGAAGGGAAGGGAAGGGAAGGGAAGGGAAGGGAAGGGAGTCCCTTGTAACCTAAAAGCCTGTAAGCCAGTGCCTGGCTGGAAGCTGAGACACGAAGCTTTTTCCCTTGCAGAAAAATCACATCCGATATCGGCACATTTAAATTAATGGAAAGAATAGAGACCCGCGGGCTAACAAAGCAGATTATTTGTTTTAAAAAGGCAAATCTGTTAACTGTTTTAACCGGGAGTGTAAAAGATCACGTGCTTAATGGAGTGAAACAGCTATCGTGACTCGTGATGGATGGCACAACATCTAGGGGCTTGACAGGCAGAAGAAAAATGGAGTGGCTGGGCGATAAACTAAGCTCGCCACGGGAACGCGCTGGGACGCCTGATGTCTGCCCGCTCGCTGCGGCGCGCTGGGAACCGGCAGCGACGGCGGCACCCGCGGCTCCTTCGGAGCGGGCACGGCTCGGCTCCCGGCGCGGTGCGGGGCGGTGCGGGGCCGGCGGGAGGCGGAGCCGAGCCCGAGGATCCCGGGGAGAGCTGCGGGAGGGAGCCGCTCCTCCGCCGGGCGCCGCGATCGACGGCGGGTGGGGAACGGGCGTTCGCAATGAGGCGCGTCGGGGCTGATTAATCGCGCCGGGATTCGCCGCGCTCAAGCAGCGAGTTTCTCTCGTCCCGTTACTAAAGAGGGCTTTCTTTCTTCTTTTTTTTCTGCGTGGCAGGTAGAAGCGACCTAAAAAAGTCAGATTCCAGTGGGAAGCTTTTGCATATAAAAACAAATTAAGTGACTTCAATCTCGAAGTATGCGCGGTACCATTTGTCAGTATCACCGGACGCTATTATTCATTAGTGTGTCTGAACTGCTATTATGCTACTACAATGTCCCGCATATCAGCTCGGGGATTGTTAAACTCTCCTGCAGTTTCCCCATTTGCAATAGCAGCTCGTGCTGGTCTGTGCCAACTACGTTTTGCAATTCCACGAATTCTTCCTGTAATGCTGCCGTAATTAATTCCTCCAGGACCCTGATTTTTATTAGAAGTGCCCGCCCGATGCATTTACAGCAGGAGATTTCCCTTTAACTTTCTTTCCCTTGACAGTTCATTTATAAGAGCCTCCCCCACGATATCCACTTTTTCCCCTCCTTTGCTTTTTCATAAAGCAATACACTTATTCATCTTGTCACTCGCCAGCAGCCACCGTACCGCACGCCGCCGTCGGGTGACAGCGTCCAAACCCAGAGCCCCCGGACCGAGCCGCAACCCGCCCTTCCGCCCCCAGCCGCCCTTACGCCCCCTCCCGCCTGCCGGTTATCGGCCGCGCTCCGCTCCCCGCCTCGCAGCCCCGACGGCAGGGACGGGACTCGGGAGCAGAGGGGCGAGGAGCCGCCCGGTAGTTGGTGCCGAACCCGGACGGCCCGGAGGGGGCAGGCGGAGAGCTGGGGCCGGGGCCGCGCTGGCCTTTGGGCACGCCGGGGGACACCGGGGGCATCGCCGAAAGATGGAGCACGTCGCATCCGACGCGTGACGGAGTGCGGGACGTCCCTACGCCCCGTTCACGCGTCGGCGCGGCTCGTTATTGACGGGACCGGGAGATGAGCTCGTGGAGATAGCGGCCCTAGTCAACATCTCTGCTTCGAATGAGGCTTGGGCTGGGAGAAGGGAAGCGGGTCCCTGGGGACGTGCCTGCATTGACTGCAGTCGGAATCGTTAGCCCTCCAAACGGCCACAAAGGAGACGCTAAATATAACTTATTTTCATTAGGAGATGCTTTTAAAGAGAAAGGAGAGGAAGGGGGGAACGTTTCTACAACGGGATTAATGTAAGTTGGAGTGGAATAAAAGGAAGTCCACGCGGAGCAAAAAGGGAACTTAAAAGGAAACCAGTAGTAGATCATATAGAGTTTGTTTTGGCCTGCACCGCGGTATTACCGAGTTCTTGACCTCTGCACAGAGAGAGCTATAATCTGAACCGAGACTCCTCCACTTTTAAAGTCTTTGTAAGTGTGACTCACAGTAAATTTTCAACATCGGGCATGTTTACTACATCGAGCAGCGCGAGGTAGAAAAGTTCACATCCCCACGTCACCGCCCCGTGCCCGGCTGCGTCCCGGGCAAAAGCCGCCTCGCGGTCACCCACCCGCTCGGACGGAGCCCGACGGGACCCAGCGGGAGGGCGTAGGGCCGGGCAGAGCCGAAGGCTCGGCCGGGGCGGGGGTCGGCGTGCCCTCCGTGGCAGGCGCGCATCCACTACGGATGCGCGCTAGGCGGGCGGTGCGGGACAAACGGTGCGGGGAAAAAGGCGATGTCCCACTACGCCGAGCTCCTGCTCTCGGCCACGCCGCCCCGTTCCGCGGCTAAAGGCGGCCGGCAGCGCCCGCTCTATGGGCACGGGCCACAAGGAGCGCCGGCACCGCGGGGCTGAGCCTGAAGCCGCGCAGACGAGCACGAGGTGAAAACAGGCTTACAGATGGTAATACAGGTTCCGCTAAATCAGCGTCGGACAAAAAGAGGGCGGTTGGTTTTCAAGCAGCCGGAATCGCGGCCAGCGAGGCAGGCTCATCTCTGCACGGTACCCGGCCACCCGCCTGCCGCTCCTAGCAAAACGCATGAGTGCAAGGAAAGTCGTTTTTCTTCGGATGCTTCTGAGCCCGTGGAAGTGAGGACAAGGGGTGATCGGCCTCAGCCACCTGTTCTGCTAGGACGCGTGCTCCGGGGCTGCCCCTCGGCACGGAGCGGGCTAAGCCCCGACCCAAGGGCTGCCCCAGCATCCCTGCTGGCTGCCGCCAAGAGCCCTCGGCACAAGTGGCCGTTCCTGCTCAGCTCACGCGTCCCAGGATCGGGCTCACTCCACTACACGTTCGAAAGACCACTTTGGTGGAACAAGAGAAAAAGAACCCTTCGGATCGAGCTTTGCAGACCCTCCAGAAGAACCGGAGCTGCTCGTAAACGGCAGGGGTAGGCAGGTTTCGCTCCGACTCTCCCGAGGGACCCCCCTCGAGGGAGGAGCTGCAGCCTTCACTCGGAGCCGGTGGCCAAAGCGCAGAGCAGAGCGGCGGAGCAGCCGTTCCGCCGAGGGCAGAGAAACCCCGCAAAGGGGCTCGCGGCCCTCCGAGGGCTCCCCGCAAAGCCTATTTATAGACGGCCCCGCCAGGGGAGCCGCTTCGGTCGCCTCGGCCAGGAGCTTTCCCCGCCAATTATTCCGCACGCTAATCTCTCTGGATAGGCTTCTTTCCTTCCTTCATTACCTCATTCCCTCCTTCCCTTGACGTCAACTCACGTTCGTTAGCGAAGCGGCTTCTGGAAGTGACAGAATTGTGTTGTCCCGCTTCCAGTGCTGATTAATCAGAGGCGATAGAGCCGGCCTATGAGAGGAGCCGCTGCGGCTTCCTTCGCTCAGGGATATTGTTTTGTGTGCCGCAGTTACTTAGCAACTCCGAGATACGGGACCGGCTCCAAGTTCACAAAAAGTTGAAGAATAAATTTTGGGGAACTTCTCACTAAACACGTTGTAAAACTGCGAGAGGCACGCCCAGCCCCCACGCCACACCAAAAAAGAAGGGAAGCCGCGATTGCAGCGGGCCTTCTGTTCGCGGCACCAAAACTCTGCATACGCTTTCCTCCCAGCAAGGAAATTCGAGGCTTGTATTGCCCCGTTCTCGAAAAAACCCTCTCTGCGGTCCGGTCCCCTCCGCTCCCGAGAGTGGAGCAGAAACCTTTCAGGGAACTGCCGTACAACCGCCTCAGAGCATGCCCGACCCCGCACACACTCTGCGAGCACCCGCACCGCCGGCCCTGCCCTGCCCTCCTCTGCTCGGCTGGGCCGTGCCGAGCGCAGCCTGCACCGTGGGACCGGAGCAGGGCAGCGAGGGATATTCTGGGGCACGCTTGGACCGGGCTCGGCCGGCGGGGAGCCCTGCGGCCCGGAAACGGCACCTGCCAGGTGCTCGGCTCGGCCAGGGAAAACCCGAGACGCTGTGGGTCTGGGCTGCGGGGGCAGTGCCAGTTTTTTTGTTTTTTTCTTTCTTAAACGCGTGCATCCTATTTTCCTTTTTGTTGTTGTCGTTGTTTTGGTTTTGTTTGTTTGTTTGTTTCAAGCGGAAGGCAGACGCGACCTTCTTTCCCCGCCGCTATAGAAAGGCGCTGGCGCAACACGCCGGTGCCAGAGCCGCCCGAGCAGCAGCCGGTGCGAACCGACGGGAGGGGGAACGGGGCGAGGCGGAGGTACCTGTTGTAGGGGGTCCGCAGGAGCAGGGCCTGGCTGCCCGTGCAGCTGTCCGTGGGGGTGTGACAGCCGTACACCGGAGGTGGCACCGAGTACTGCTGGTCCCCTGCGGAGAAAGCGGGACAGGTTAGCCCGTGCCGCGGCCGCCGCCCAGCCCCGCGTCGCTCCGGCCGGGAGCCATTACCTAGAGATGGCTGCTGGCTCATGGGGTCCTCGTGTTTGAAAGAGTGGTTCGTAAACTGCGCAGCGTGGTGAGACGGCGTGTGGCCGTAGCTCGGAGTCCCGTCAAAGGCCACGGTGCCGTAACCTGCCGGAGAGAGCACCGCGGGGTCAGGGGCCGCCCGGCCCGCACCTGCCCCCCGCACTGCGGCTCCACGCGGCCGTCGGAAGAGAGACGTCCCCGGGGCAGCCCCAGGGCCCGGGCACCGCGGGAAGAGGCGCGGCCGGGGGGCCTCCCGGCCTCCGCTCCCCCAGCACAGCCACGGCACTCGGCGGGGCTGCGGGCGCCGGGCGGTGCCGTGTGACCCCGCGGGGTGCGGGGCCGTCGGGGTGCGGGGGGCAGCCCTGCGGGAGGGCCGAGGCGGGCAGCCCGCTCTGGAGGGCGGAAAGTCGGAAGTCTCGTTCACGTTTCAAGAGAACAGATCGGCTTCGGTAATAAAAAGGATGTTTTCATTAATTGTTACTCATACTAAAGAGGAAGATTCCCATCTGCTCTGTATACTCCTCTGCCGTTTCCAATTTAGAAGTTACCCTTTAATC